GGGTCCAATGTTTCCCTTATTTTTTCTTTGACTTCCTATGTATCTGAAGAAGGACTTATTGTTCTTGACTTACGTTGCCAGTTTGAATTTGATTTCTGCCTTTGCCTTTGTACTCTTCTCCTTACAGGTGCAGGCTATTGCTGTGTACTCTTGCTTGGTGGTATTTCCCAACTTCCATCCCTTTTAAGTTTCTCTTTTCAATTTCAGGAGGTTCATGACTTACTTACCTATTGAGCCAAGGGCATCTCCCAGCCCTTTTGCTGCCTTTCCTACGAGCCAGAATGAACTTCCTTTGTGCTCCAAGGATTGCATCTCTGAGGAACAACCATTCATCTTGGACCTCTGGCCCTATTGGGCCATGGTCCCTCAGGGCCTCAGCAATTAAACTCCTACGCTTGTGGAAGACAGCTTTCCTAAAATCAAGGATTTCAGCTCTGCTGACTGATTTCCCTGCCTTGAATGAATGGAGAAAGTGATCATCTCGTGATCACTGTGGCCTAGCTTCCCTTCAGTTATCAGATCGCTCACTAGATCGTCTCCTTTGGCCAAGACCAAATCCAGTAGTGCCTTACCCTTTGTCAGCCCATAGACTTCTTGAGTCTGATAGAGCTCATCAATGCAAGTGAGGAAGCTTCATGACTGATCAGATCTTGCTAAGTGCTGTTCCCATGAGAGGTCTGGATAGTTGAAGTCCCCCATAACGACCATGCTTCAAGAGTGTGGAGCATCTGCCAGTTCTCTAGAGATCTCCTGATCAAACTCTTCCTCTTGGTTCGGTGATCTGTAATAAACTCCTGCAGTTATCCCCTTCACCATGCTCTCCTTGCAATTTAACTCAGAGGGGCTCAAGTCGCCTTTCTTTAGAGCCAATCTCTACTTCTAGGGACATGAACTGCTCCGTAACATAGAGCACCACACCCCCACCCTTCTTCCCAACCCAATCCCTCCTGTGCAAGGTGTAGCCCTCTGTGCCTGTGGTCCAGTCATAGGTGGAGTCCCACCAGGACTGTAGCTATGAGATGTGATGGTTTTAGAGATAGTGTTGGTTTCTCAAGTAAATTATGCCAATGTTATGGAGAGCTTTGAGTTTTGTTACTAAATTCTTGAAGTTGAGTTTGCCCCAGTGGAATCTAGATGACTGAGCAGAGCACTGTTGTTTTGATTTCAAGGGCTTCTGTTGTTGAGTGGACAGATGGGCTGCTGTATTTTGAACCATGCAGGATCTTCATTCATAGCATTAGTGAAATGCAACAAAGGAGCCTTCATGTTTGGATCATTGACAGTAATCTGTAAATATGCTTCAGTAAATAAAGGCTCCCAGCACATACTATGTTTGTGTTGTAATTAATGTGTTAATCGCGCTATAATGACAAGGGTACCCCCCCCCCACACACACACACTTACTTTAAGGCACCATAAAATGGCAAACCATCCATGAAAGTGTTCCACATGTAGTGTAGAACATTTTTGTGACTGATTATGTGTGGCACCTTAAATTGAACATGTGGCATGTCCACCCACTGGGACTGCTAGGGGTGGATAATTGTTGGAATCAGACCTAGACAGCACTATATCTCCAACCAGCCTGCCAGCAATATTGTTAGCCCCAGCCTCGGGTAGCCTTGATCTCCAACCAGCCCAGAACTGCCCCAGGCAGGTGCCAACCATCAGCTCATTGTTGGCATGGACCTTAGGGCAGCCTTGGTTCTCCATCTGGCCTGGGACTGCCTTGCACAGGGGAAGAAGAGGCGTGGAAATCAGAGGCTGGTGCCAGGGGCAGCTGAAGGTCTTCCTCCAGGGACTCTAAACCCTGTGCCTGCGATTTAAAGATTCTGGCTGGGAAAGCCCTTCAGTTGAGCCTCTGATCCACCATGCCTGGCATCCCCACTAAAGCTGCTGGGTGTAAGGATTAAATTCCCCAGTGGGGTTAGCTCTGGCAGGTTCAAAGGCTTCCAAGTAGCTCATTGTCAGTCCTAGCCCAGAGGCAGGAGGCCTCTGGCAGGAGGTGCAATTTTGGGATAAGGGATCAGATCCAATCATGCCATTAAATGAAAGTGTGCCAGGGGCCAAAGTGCTTGTATGCCGTCATAAGAAAAGAGGCTTTCAATTTGCACTTGAGATCCCCAAGCCAGCTCCACTTTCATGTTGGGCCTCCGATCTCAGTTCTTTGCAATCCTGTCTATAATGCTTTGGGCAGAAAAACAGTGGCAATTTTGGGATCAGGGATCAGATCCAATCATGCCATTAAATGAAAGTGTGCCAGGGGCCAAAGTGCTTGTATGCCGTCATAAGAAAAGAGGCTTTCAATTTGCACTTGAGATCCCCAAGCCAGCTCCACTTTCATGTTGGGCCTCCGATCTCAGTTCTTTGCAATCCTGTCTATAATGCTTTGGGCAGAAAAACAGTGGGTAGGTTCTGATGCAGAGATACACTTGGAGGGACAGTTTGTTGTTGGGCAAGACAGGTGAGGAGTCTGGTTTGGGGAGTGGTGGGTTCTGAGGATGAGGTCTGGAGTGTGTGTGTTGCTGGTGAAAGGACTGATACAATAGAAGGACTGCTGATGGAAATTAAGGGATATGGATACTGCTGCTCATCTCTCTCCTTCCCCTTGTGTGCACCATGCAAATGTAAATATGTCAGGAGCTGGTTAAGCAAATGATGGATACCTGCACTGTCTAGGAAACCAGGTCTTTAACAGTACAGAGTAGAACTTGCACATGATGACATAACATGCTGGATTCACTGGCTTCTAAGACATTTTCTTAGAGTTATGGCAGTGATGCCCGGTAGTGTGAAATGAGACATTACAAATCAAACAGATCATCCGTCAGAACACACTTACCTTGAAAATGTTCAGTGTTTGTCAACTGTGATGGAAACCAGTTTAGCTTCTAACTTTGATGGGTATGTTAATAGTTTGCCAGTAACAAAAGACTCTTTAAATAGTTTTAGAAATCATTTTTTTTTAGAGTAATGGTGCAAATACTACAAATTGCTCTATCACCTCAGTGTTTAAACTTAAATAAGCAGTACTGTAGCTCTATATATAGAACACAGGACTTTAAAAGAGAGCAACTGCATGGTAGAACTGATAATTATTTTTAGAGGACATTTAGCAGCTGTCTCCAAATGGTGGACTGCATTCCACATCCTTCTCCTCTTCAGTGCATGGAAACATTTAGTGCAATATTGATCTAAATCTTTGTGTAACTTTCTTCTGTTTCAGCTTTGGTTTGCATTTGTTAATGGATTTTCTGGACAGATTTTATTTGAGCGATGGTGCATCGGCTTGTACAACGTGGTAAGTATTCCATGTCTTGGCTTGATAGCCCGCAGAACCTCAGTGGCATTCCATTGTTGTTTATGTCTGTGTAGTTATCTCAGACAACCATCTGTATGTATATCAAGAAGTGCAAATACATTTTAGGAGCTTTGTTGGTCTGCCCCAGAAGACAGATATAAAAAACCCTGGATGTTTATTTTTAATCACAGCAAATGTATTTGGAAGAGTGCCTTGAAATATTAGGACATTTATCTTAATAATATGCCTTCATTACCTCTCTGTAGTTTTAGGTAATTAAAAAATTACCTCTATTCCAAAAATATTTCTGACCTGTTTCATATCTAAATATTTTATTTTACTGATTGTTCTTGGTCAACATAAATATGTATTTATCTTGCATCATTTTACTTTGTCCTTTATTTGTTTATTTTATTATGGTTGTGCCTCTGAGCTCTGTGAATTTTCATCCATGAAAAGCCATTTTTTGGCCTTTGTCCTACATAGTTAATGCTAAAGATATGTTCTGTTCCCTGGTCCTATAGAAATTAGGCCTTATCAATTTGCTGATGCCTGTTAGTGATGTTATTATTAAGATCTAGAATAAGGTATGGCTCTGCAAACCTTGACTAAGCCCACCATATTTGCCAAAATAAAAATATATGGGATTTTCTCCCTTGTAGACATTTTGTACATGCCTTCACTCTATACAGGTGAAACCTACAAAAAATCAACAGATTATCTCTAACACTACTTGTTTTAAGTAAATTTACTTTTTTAGACAAGAAGAGGTGAAACAATGATGATGTTCATCATCATCATCTTACATTCCTTGATGTTCAACAAGGTATTCCGTTCTTCTCTGGAGGCTTTACATCAGATTCTCCACTCTATTGGTTCTTTCAGTCTTCCTCACCTGGATATCAAGCAGTCCTCCCAATACATCCCTCTCCTTTACACCCGTTAACTTTTATATCTTTTAACCTAACTTCTCTGGATAAAGCATATTAACGCCTATACTTGTGCTAAAAGTAGTGCAAAAATAATTAACTGTGTTACCTTGTAGACATTTAGGTGTTCTTTTAATTCACTTTGTCCACTGAGACACTAACGGTCAAATCCATCTGTGGGAAATAATAATAACTTGAAGGGATTTGTTTTTACCGGAACATTGTGAGTTCAGACC